TGATGATTAATATTTTGGAAAATCACAGATTTTTTTTTTGGTCTAAAGAAAGAGAAAGATAAATTTAAAATATATCACATAATTATGTATAATTTGTTTAAAAGTTTTGCTGAAAGTTTTTGCTCACAGCTGAATTTTTTTTTATTCCTAAATGTACTCTACTGTACTTATTATAATAATAGCCCGAGCAACAGAAAAAGATTTTATATGATAACATAACTTGCAATTTATCTGAAAAAATTCATAAAAATAACATATGTAAACTTTTATCTTCTTATTCGTTTGATTCTTTATACTTTTTTAAACGCTAGAATAAAATTCTATTTGTTATTTTTATTCCATTAATAACTAAAACTCATTCCTTAAATCACATTTAATAGCAAATTAAATTATGAATTTAAATTTAAATTTCTATTAAAAATGCATGAAATTTTTATATTATTCTTATATAAAGAATACTTAGAGTGATTTTTGTATATATAATTATTTAAAACGTTAATGACAGAAGCAGGCACTTTTATATCAATATAATTTACAATAAAATTGCATTCATAGAAAATTTTATGATATCGAAAAATAGAGTCATAAATGAGAAATAAAGATTACAATATTGTAGTTTTTGAATTTTAAATATATAAAATAAATCATTCACCAATGAAATTTTTAAAAATAAAACCATTTTTACAAAATTTAAACCTTTTATTTTTATACGAGTATATTTATCTTGAGCAATGAAATGAAAGAAGCAAATTCTAATGTACAGAGTTTCAAAATAAAAATATACAACTTACTATATATTGATGACTACTAAAATAATATACAATAAATGTGTGATGTCATTTCAATTCTTTTTTAAAGTGGTATTTTTATGGACTCTTTCCGCCCCGTAGGCTGTAAGAGGACCCTTTTTTCATACCCATTGTAATGGGTAGGCTTGGCCAAACCCATTACGATGGTCCTCATCCCTCATCATCCGGCTACCCATTGGTTGCGGGATGATGAGGAATGAGGTCCAATATGACCGGAACGGACTACCCTCCGAAAAATTTCCTGGAGTTTTTTTACCCTCACGGATCGATTTTGAATTCTCAACTCCACAGAACAATAGTCAACGCCCAGGGACGCCATAAGACGGGCGTGTAGGGTGTTGAAGGGTGTTTTGAAATGACAAAAAAAAATGAAACAAAATATTACTTTGTAAAAGTAAACACGCGAGCTTCAAGGTCAAAGTGTTAACGCTTGCAATATATATTTATATGAATTTATAATATTGAACGGTCAAGCATTTGCAAAATTGCCCTGGTAATAGGTTCCTCGTCCGACGAGGAATTAACTTGTACGAACAAGTACCGGTCCATACCATTCAAATTCAATTCAAAGAAGTTTTGATGGTGATCAATAGGAATATATTGTTTATTTGCACTAATTCGTAAATGTCGAAAAAATAGGACCCGTACGCGGATGCGAAGTACCCTAGCTAGGCTTGATAGTTGAGTAGGTTGTCAACAACGTAGGCCTGCCACTTTGAGAAACCCAAGATTGAATCCGGGCGAGCAACTCAGAAATTTTTCATGGATGGTCTGTCCTAAATATACAGTGCCCTGTCTCTCACTTTCTGGCCATCCCATTATAGGTCTGGACAAACCCATGACGGGCACGAAAAAAGGCTATCTTAGTACTCGCAGGACAGAAAGGGACAAAAACGAAAATAAATAAATATGTATGAACAACTAATTTGTCAAACATAACTTAATAAATAAATTACGAAATGAAAACGATTTTAGTATCAGTTGTTTATCTTATTCGCGTGGCTATCCGAGTCTATTGATTTCCAGAATGAACCATTCTCAGAATTCTCAAGAATTATTAATCATTTCATTTGTCATTCTTGTTGCATTCCTTTGTTTTTGTTTTGTTTTTTCACTTAAATTTTTTAATCACTTCAGTATTTAAAATTACTGTATATTATAGGCCTATTGAATCTTGACATTTTATCCAAAATGTTATATAGTGTTTATAAATGCAATAATATAATCAAGGAAATGACAAGAAAAAGATTTGTATTATAAAACACAGAATTTCACCCATAAAAATTAATTTTATAGCGAGATATTATTGTACTTTCTGAATAAATTTCTCCCTCAATTAATGTTGAATCACTTAATTCAATATTAACTATTTAAATTCTTTTCTTGCCATATCATTCTTATTTCGTCTTATAATAAACATTCTCTTTTAACATTTCTATTATACCATATTTTGTTGAGTGACAATTTTAGTCCAATGATGGGGACATTGACATAAAGTTGATTATTAATAGAATTCTATGGAAAAGACGACATTCATTTGATTTAGAAACAAATATTAAGTTGATTAACATTCAAGCCATTGTAATGGCAGTTGTTTATTTGAAACATAACACTTGACAATGACTAATATTTAACGCAATAATACAGTTGGCGAAAGTTTAAGTCTTACTAAATGCTTAAATAATATTTTATAGAAAATGAACAAAGGTGTTCAATTCTGATTGTAATTTCAACTTGTTTTCTTTCAAAAATTAAAAATTTAATTTAATTTATGAAAGAGTACGTTATTTTGAACAAATTTAATGTTATTTTGTATTTATAATCTGGGCATTTTCTAGAAAAATTCATTATTGACGATGAAGCAATTAGTTACATCCGATTTTGAAACAACTGAATGAATATCCGAAAGATCAAAATTTAGTATAATTTTAATAAGTTAAAATTATAAAAATTTAACACAAATATTTATTTTATACTCTATTATATTTATGAAAACAATTGGTATGAATCAATCATACAGTGTGTTAATAATTAATAATCGCGTCAGCTCACAATTTCAAGAGTTATTATTGTCTAAGGACATTTAAAGCTGATATACACGCTATTATAAAACTATATATTTTACCGTATATATACTATATAGGCTATATAGGCTGTACAGATAAGTTATATGTAGAACCTATTATATATAGCTAATTTAGTATAGGCCTATATATTTTGGATTTATTATTACATAAATAATTGTAAATTATAATTTTAAAATAATACATAAAATAAAATTGTAATAAACTAGATATTGTGACTCAGACGGTAGGCAGCGAAACAAAGTATCAAAAAGAAATTAGACTCATTTAAAGAAAAGAAAAACGAAAAAGAACTGTCCTATCAAACAAATATCTGAGATTATCCACGAATAAAAGATGAAGCCCGGTGACATCTTGTCATTTTCTATTGATGCTGAATCGTATGTATGAAAGAAAGGATATATCTTTAATATAGTCAATATTTTATTACAAATTCAGCATAAACCTAAAATAATTTATTAATATTAAAATGTTCTATCTGATACTTAATCTCTCAAAAGAATAAAATATAATTTTTATTAAAAAAAAGTAATAATTATTATAATTATAATTGGTTTTAACAACAAATTTTAATTCTAAATGAATTGACTTTTTAAAATTTTTAAATTTAAGCTATTTTGTTATAAAATGTATAAATGAATATATCCAACATTCAGTACATTTAAATGCATAAAATTTCAAAATATTTACCATTATCTGTAATTGATATTTATTAAAGTTTCATCTGTTTTTATAATCAATCAAAGTAATGAATAATAAGTATAATAATTAAGTAAGTATCTGATGTGTAACGTAATGAACAATAAGTTAAAAATGAAGAGACAACGCTCTTGTGGGATCGTCATTTTTCATTCGAACTCACGTATGGACAATGCCCTTCTTTTGTACACGTGTTTGAATCTTTGTTCTTTCAATGATAAAGATAGTTCCTTTGTAATATATATATTTATACAATTGTGTTATTAATAAATTGAATTTTATAAACCGTGGAAAAGACAATAAAATTTAAACATTCACCAAGGTTAAAGCGCACTGTAATTTCATCACTGGTGAAAATTTCAAAAATATCTTCCAAGCATAAAATCATTTCAGTTACTCTCACTTTTATAGATTAACATGTGATAAATGAATCTAAATTCCAATTTTTTTAATTTATACTTATATAATATTTATTGTGTTTAACTTTAAAAGTGGAAAACTACAAAACTTTTAATTTAAAATGCTTATTTTTATGATCTTAGTTAGGGAAATTCAAATTAGCAATAATAATCACTTATATAAATTAGCGGATTATGCTATGTGTCATTATAATACGTAATATCCGCTAATTATACTAAATAATCTATTTTAAAAAAATAAAAAAGACCTTTACTGTTAAAAAAAGAAAGACGACCTTGATATTCATTTCTTCCATTTAGTTTTAATATTTTAATAATACGTGTTGCAGCAATAGTTTATTTTACTAAACATTGTCTCAAACGTCACAAAATTGAGTATTTAATTATAATAAATTGAATACTTTATTCATTTACTTTTGTTAGAAGTCTCCTTATTGAATAAATTCTATTGTATTGAAAATATTTGCTATGCCCCATTAATACTTAATACAGATCACGGAAGTAAAGGGAAAAAATGTATTTTTGACGATTGAAATTTAACAAAAATAAAACAAAAAACTTTAATTGTCATCATACCGGATATTTTTATCAATAAAAGTTTTTTTAATTGAAATGAGACAAAATAAAAATTATCAAGATAGATGTCTCTTATTTCTTTTCCTGTGGTTCCCACAGGTAAAAAAATACATTCTAAGTCTATTCATATGTCATCTCTAAGCCGCACCAGTAGTTATATTTATGATTAGATTAACCAACATATTATACTTAAACATCACATGATTTCTTTTGAGAGACATTTACTGCCACGCATAATAAATTCTACTTGGGAATATTGCGTCATAAACGATAATTAAAATTGATGAAATTATAAAGATAAGGTCACCTTACTTGATAAAAACATGCGGTTACAGAATATCCTTTTCTCTGCAATTTCATTCTCTGGTAGAGTACATCACACTTCCTTTTTCTCTCTCTTTTTTATTTTTTTATTTTTCTCATTTCCGTAATGACGGGAGACAAACGGATATGTATTAAATCTGTATTTCTGACTTATTTTATCAGACGTGTGTTGTTGAAGTGCGGTTTTTCAATGTGTTTTATATTTCTGCTACATCATTTAGGTAACTTATATGAACTGTTATGTACGGGAAGAAAAAAATCATCCTTGGACGTTCCCATTCCGAAAGAATAGTACGAAAGAAATCGAAAAAGGTAGGTAAACTTAATTCATTTCATTTTTTAATAATCAAATCTTATTTATATTTACTTTACTTGTAAAAATAAATTTATGCTAGAATTAATCTTGTCTTTTAACATAATAAATACAAGGAAAGATTATATAAAGTATAGTTTTTATTTCCTTTAAGCCCTATATTTAATACAGTACTGTACGATTCAATGTCAACAGGAAATTAAATGATACGATAAATGCTTAAGAATTTAAAAATTAAAAATAACCTAATCATTAAATTAACTAATGACTTCAATACCTTTTTAGATTGTCTTTATATATATATATATAAATTGTTCACTTCATTGAATAATCGGGACAGGATAATACAGTAAGTTGTTCCAGTCTCCTTAATTCTCTCAGCCGTAGCATGAAATACAAAATATAAATATGTTTTAATATGTTTGAATCCTTTTTAGGATTTTTATTATAATATTTTTCAATTGCACTAAACGTCTTTAAATCGATTTAAATCGATTTGATTCTTTCGTATTAATTTTAATAAAATCTGTAGACTAAGTACACTATAAAAGAATTTATTCTGCATAAGTCGATGACAAAATAGCTATATAATATATAAATATATATATATAATATGAATTAAATCTATTTACTTATATTCATATAAGTATATGTTGTACAGTACATACAAATAATATCACGTGAATCATATCTTATATAAAAAATTTTACCTGTTACAAAATACATATACATGTATAGTATAGTACACTGTATAAGTATACAGTGTACTGTACTATATATGTATTAGTTACAAAGTATAGACTATAGTAATTCATAGTCTTAATTACAAAGTATATAGTATTTATATATGTATGTTTATAAGTATAAACATACATATATAAATACTATATACTTTGCAATTAAGACTTTTTTATGCAAGAAGTTTTAGTTACTAAGTGTTTCAAATAATATACAGTGTGAATGATTCATACTCTATATTATTTGTACAGTAATACCTCGACTTACGCGAACCCGGAGTTACGCGATTTTCAAATCTCGTCGATTCGTCTTTTGTTTAAACGCCACGCAACTCTTGCTTACTCACTCCCCTCACACTATTGTTTAGCTTACATGTTCGGACTTGCTGCGCGGAATCGACGCATAGCTACAATTTATTTTGTGTTATTTATTTCTGTGTTTGTTACATCTACGGATACTTGAGAGACTCTATGTGGTGATTTCTTGTAACCGTGAACCAAAAGGCGAGATAAGGTTAACGAGAACATTTATTAGCTTACATACATCAGATTTGGATTTTACACAAATTGCGAAAATATACCCCGACTTACGCGAATTCGACTTACGCGGTTATCGTTCGATCCCACCTATCGCGTAAGTTCGGGGTATTACTGTATATATTAGCGAGGTTGCAACCGAAAGTTTTCATCTCTAAAACGTGAACGTCGAACGTCGACAAGATAGCGGAGCTCGACGTTCGACGTTCACGTTTTAGAGATGAAAACTTCGGCCACAACCTCTCTATATTCTATATATGTATATTTATGTGTGTTTATACATATAAAAAGTATAAACATCTGTAACAAAACAAAATTTAAAATCTTGTAAACAAATACTATTGCGTGTGTGAGTCATTTCTTATATAAAAAAACTGTTTATATTCTTGCTTTGTTTTCTTTTTTTTATTTTAGTTTAAATTTTAAAATATACTCCATTACTCATTTATTACATTGTACTTTTAAAATGTTTATTAATAAATACTTTTAATATAAAATAACGCAAAAAAATTCCAAAATTTTATAAAATATAATTGATTTTTTAAATATTTTACCTCGATCTGCTCCAAATATTAGCAACCCCGTCCCTGAACTGTGTTACGTCCAACTTGTGCAATCTAAAAATGTATTTAAAAAAATCAATACATTTTAAAAATATATATAAAATTAAGTATAACGTTATTTAATTACTATTTCCTTCGTTAATATATTTTTCCAATTTTTTTTTTTTAAATTAATAATCTCGACAAACTTTCAAATTAATAATTGGCCACCAGGTGAGACAATTTCACGTATCTTTTGTATCCAAAGGATATTATCGTAATTAAATTCATTACCATTACGCGTGAAATTATCGAAGATTTTTCCGGAATTCTTTATTTTACAATAAAATATATATATATATAAAATAAATAAATAAACGAAAAATAGTTCCCGTTTAAATGCACCTGTATCCGTCTTCGACCATGTGATCGCGTGACGTAAGGCCGAGTGACGTCATCGAGTCNTAATTTACGTGTATAACGAAGCATTCAAAATAAATAAATAAACGAAAAATAGTTCCCGTTTAAATGCACCTGTATCCGTCTTCGACCATGTGATCGCGTGACGTAAGGCCGAGTGACGTCATCGAGTCTTCAAGGTGGACGCTTGAATCCAACAGGTGATGACTCTTGATCGTTACAAAGACCGTTTTAAATTGTTTATTTAACAATAAAATCTACGGAGAGTAGAAGTTTACCGAGGGATGAACCCCGTTATCGATGGAGAGGTAATAAATACAGTATATTTTTCTTATAATTCTTTACGTAAGCTTATGATTAGGCCTAAGTCACTTGTCTTAAAAGAAGGTCGATGATCAGAAAGGAAAATTAATGTATTTATATATAAGAATTTTCAAACATTCCTTCAGTAAACACGAGTTCTAATTACCCAAAACGTATTACAGTGTTAAATTGTCTCATCATCCTGTTAATTGTCAACAGTTTTATATTAATTAACAAATTAAATCAGAATTTCCTCCTTTATAGATCTTATAATTTAATATAAATCAATCCCTTCTGTAACATATAACATTTATCTAGAATATGTAACCAAAAAAAAAGTGAAGTGCCGCCTAGTGTTTTATCAAAAGATAATAATGTCAATATTGATTCTTACCTTTGGGCTATAATTCAGAAAAAAAAAATACATTCGATTTTAAATTTTGTAATATAAACGATAGAAATATGGCAATAAATCATGAGTTTTAGGTATGTAATAAATACAAATGATTTTCTGAATTTTACTTTGTGTAATCAGCTGATTTAAAAGTCTTGTTAGATCCAGTAACTTTGGTTTCTTGTCCAATGTTTCGACATTCTTCTCTAACTGCAGTTAAATAGCAAGCAAACCTTGAGAAAAAAACCTTTGAAAAATTAATAAAAAGCTGCATTTTAAACGTTTTCAGCCATTCGAATGACTTTCTTCGGGAATAAAATCGAATGATTCTGATTTCTATAAGATAAAGTCTGTTATGGAACGATACTTGCATACTATGATATTATTTAAATGGCCAAAAATGTTTGAAAAGTTAATAAAAAGCTGCATATTAAAGGTTTTTTTCCCCTCAATATTTGGGTGTTTCGATATGTAAAAATACTAAAAAATCTGATAAATTCTGTATGTGTATATTTGAAAATCAGTTTTTCATAGTTTAAGTAGTTTCTTTATTAAATTTCATGATATAAAAAGTTATGTCATGAAAAGTCATGTGAAAATATTTAACCTAAACTGTTTGATTTTATTATATTTTAAGTAATTTGTGTATTTTAAATTTCAATACAGATAATGTAGTGTATTATAACATTCTGCTTAAAACTTATTTTTTATTGACAATATGCAAAGAAAATAATTTTGCTTAAAAAATATTTTTTTAAGGTTCTGTTTATTTAAATTACTAATTGTAGTTATTAAACTGTAGCATAATCTGGTTGATATGATTTTTTAAAATTAAAAATTATTATTAGTTATTTAATGTGTTTTTTGAACCATGGCATTTTGTATGTTAATCAATATCTGTTTTTAGAATGTAGGTATTGCATCTACATTGAAGGTAAATTGAACTGGAGTTTGTTTGATCATCCTGCGGATTATATGTAATAAGTGAATAGCAAAAAATATTCATTTTTAATTTAATTACTATAAAAGTAAAATACATTCTAAATTTTGATGGTTTATAACTTAATTATTTTTCATTATTTTGATTTGATTGATCGAATTAAAATCAATTAATTTTGTAGCATTTTTCTTGTTTATTTTTATTGGTTTATATATTATTTTGATGTTATTAAAACTTACTTTATGGAAATTAAAATCTATAATTAGAAAGACAAAAAATATACAATCCAAGAAATATAATTTTGTAATATTCTAAGATTGACAAAGTACAGTAGATTAAACTGCTTGTATTTTTGTCACGGCTATGTATCCACCAAATTTTAACAAATACGGTTGAAGAGGGACAGACAACCTGTCTGAAATGCATATTGTTGTCATAATAAGCCTGTGTTTGTCTACTTCTGTGTGATAACTCCAACACATCAATAGTGTGTGATAAGTCCCCCATAGAACNTATATGTGATAAACTTTGTTTCTGGAATTTTAAATTAATTTTTGAAGAATATTCTAAGAACTCTTTAACAAAGGTTTAATCTGTTATCAGTTTAATTAGCTTATGTACATTTTAAATTGTCAAAGTTACAAAGTAAAATCTGATAACTCAAAAGGCTTAATATGTAATTTGATTATACATATCTAAAAACTTTAAAAAATAATAAATCAGATATTTGTTATATAAGATTTTAACTTAATAATTTAAAATAATGTAGAAAATAATTATTTTTTTTGTTAGGAAATTTTCTTAATAGAATTTCTGAAACAAAATTTCAGTTAAAAATTTAAAAAAATTGTTTTTTATTGCTTATCATATCTGAATTGCCTTTTGTTCCTGTAATAAAAACAGATTGTGAATAAAGTTACTTTCTGAATTAAATAAAATTTATCAAAACTGGATCAAAATTTTCCTTTTTATTCAGTTAGGTTGATAACTTTTTTTTTTGAACAAAGAAATGCATTTGTTATTCATTAAATGGAATATTCACTTCTACATGAGTAACAATATGACTTTTGTTTTATCTTAATTCCTCAACTCTATGAAATAGTAGAGAAAAAATTTCTAAAGTTAA